AAGAATATCATCAAAAGAAATGAAACTTGGTCCCCTCTCTGAAACTCAGTTATTCAAAATGATGACCAAACAAAAAAATAGCATTTGGAATGATAAAAACATGTAAAGCACGTACTTTACAGAGAACTAGAGCAGACTGCAAGAACTGGAGATGTGTCTAGAGATTTCCAAGAAAAAAAAAAGGAAAGTTACGATAAAAAAATTCTTGGTTAAAATATGTGCAATTTAGGAAAAAAAAAATATTCAGAAAGTTTCAAAGAGTAATCAATGAGTAACCACTCAATGACTCAAGTGGTCCCTGTTCCTAGACTAGAAATCTTTGTACCAAGAATTCCTTTTCCGTAATTTTGCCAAAAAAAATGACACTCGTTAACAGAAAAGAGCATGTTATAGGCTAAAGGATGAGTTTTACTCTATTGGTTAGTTATGAGATAGCATTTCCAAATAAAGAGGGTAAAACAAATTAAAAAGGCATATGTTTCGTAATATGAAGTGGTGAAAATTAAGAAGTAAAAATAGAATAAAATACACATAAACCACACATGGTTGTAGGGGCTTTCAACTTTGTGCATCTGCCTTTCTCCATCACACACCTTAGTTCAAAATACCCCATCCTGTTGCCCATCTCCATCATCCACTCTTACTATTTTGACATAAAGTTTAATTCAAATGTGTAAGTGTAACAAAGAAACCACATGCAAGCAAAGTAACACGTCTAAACCGCATGTGAGTGGTGTAGACAATCCTGAATAATGTGTGTTATTCATAATTTACACAAAAAAATTATCTACATAGAAGAGGCAAGGTTATACAAGTTCTAGATAAGAGAAGGTCATGTAAAATGATTTGAACTTTGAACATCTATAAAATACAGTTCCAAATAACTCAAATGAAAAACCGCAAATGTTTGCTGAAAAGAATAAAAAAAGGCCAGAGGGTGTCATGGTTATAACTTATAAGCAACAAGAAAGATAATAGGGTGAATTCCAAATAAGGAATGCCAGTTGAAAATATTGGTTATTATAAATATTGGCTTAAGTAAATCATTCTGAGTGGTTGTTGTTCATTCATGGTAAATGTTAAATCCTTTTCTGAATACAGGTGAATAGCAAAATGAAACTATTATGAAAAGTAACAATGACTTCTTATTTAGCTAATTCCAAAGGGACAGGATCCGTTTACAAACTTTTTTGAATTTTTTTACAAATTACACTATCTTCTCCCGGGAGAACATAGTGTAGTTTGTAAAAGTTTGTATTCTCCCGGGAGAATATAGTGTAGTTTGTAAGAGTTTGTAAACAAAAAAGTTTGTAAATATAACCTGCCCCAATTCCAAAAGGGTATAACTTGATTAAACTTCCTATCATTATATTGTTCCGTAACCTTATTAAGTAATCTTCCTCACATTGATAAACATCCACTAAATTTATTCTTATATAAAAAAACCAAAGCTTCCACTTTAATACTTGTTCAAGAAGTAGGTCGGTTCATCCACCCTAAGCAATATAAACAAAGGAGTCCTTACCGCGCGTGAAAAAACTATGTGCACCGATTTGGGGATCCTCTTGTCAGCAAAGAAACAATTTCTGCAACAAGATGAACAAAGAAGATTAAGGCATTTACAACAACATTTGTACATAAAGTAAGGGGGAAAAAGTACAATTAAAAATAAGATAAGGTGGATAGGGAAAGCTTTGGACCACTCAACCCACTTGACAGAAAAAGTAACGCAAAATTATCACACAAGTTCAGTTCTATAAGCGCACCTGTTTCTAATTGATCCAGTTGAAGTTATTCTACAGGTAAAAGGGTGCCTGGGAACAAAGGGACAGCGTGGAAGAAGTCCAAATGCTGCATCAGGCAACATAGCAGCTCCCATTTTCATCCTGTATGTTATACAATCATTCACATAAACATATAACATTGTCTTCACATTAAATAGCAGAAGGGTTTGTGAGTTAATTAACAAAATAACAACACAATACAACATACCGCTATTCCTTTTCTTCCTCTATTTTTTTTTCCCTTATATCCTTAACCTCATATATAGAGCCATCAGCAAAGATACTACTGAAATCAAAACTGAAAAAAATAAAAATATTTAAAAAAAGGGATATAATCCCAGATGATAACTAGTTGATTAAAGGAAAAATTACAAGTGAATTGAGCTGAAATTAAGGGAATTAGTTCAATGCCACAATTGCAGTTAATAATGCAACTTCAAAATTAAAACACGACAAGTTTTCGAGAATTTCTGTTACCTGATTCAAAAAACACGCCAGAGTCTTTGTTGCTTTTTTTAATTTTACTTTGTTTTGAGAAGAGTGAAATTGTTGTTTGTAGTTGGAGATCAAAGTGCAATGCGAAGGTCACGTGGAGCCCAGAGACTTTTTACAATGGCTCGGACACAACACCATGACTTTCCATGGCCAGAAAGTTGAACAGCGGAAAGTGAAGTAAAAGGGAAAAAGTAAACAGAAAAAAGAGATACATTCACAAGGTCCAATCCAAGTATGATTGAAGAGGTTGGTTGGAAATGAAGTAAAAGCCAGAAAACGATTAAAAAAAAAAAGTTCTTATTTAAAGAAGTCATTAGAGTATTTGCCTATTACTTATTTTATTTTCTTTTTTTCTTTTCTTACTCTTATATTAAATTCAAATCAACCTTTTAAAATATTACAACATTAAACAAAAATAGACAGTATATAGTATTTTCTCTCTCCTCCTCCGAACACAACAAAACTTAAAAAATTGATCCCACATCTATATTCGCTCTCTTCTCTATCTCTATCTCTATCCCTATCAGTTGTTCTTTCTTTTTCTTTTCTCTTCTATAATCCATCTGAGTTGTGTATTTTGTCAAGTACAAAAATAGGAGGTTTTCTCTCCGGGTGTTTGGTATAAGGTATTTTGTAGGATTTTCAGAAAATTAAATTTTCTAAATTTTTAATTTTTAGATATTATCGTAAATTAAATATTTTCATCATATTTCTGAAAATCAAGATTCTCGAATAAAAAAAAAAATTCCTCGACCCAACATCTTCTAAATGTATTGTTTGTTGATCGTAAGGAATTATTATAGCGAGAAAGAGTTTAAGTAATTTAGAAGAGCTTATAGGTTAGAACATCTATACAAGTAGCACGATTATACCAAAAATAATTAAACAAAATGTTAAATTTATAATTATAATACAATAATTGCTTTTTCTAATCAAAAACTATTATTAAAAGTTTCAAATAATTAAAAAAATTGCACTAAATCAAAATAATTATTAGTTTGAAAATAGTTTGAGAATAATGTAATACACAACATTATTAGTATAATTCTCTATATATTAGAGTATAAAGATTGAAAATAAAATTGTTCGCATATAAAGAACCATTTTTTTAGATACTGATGTTAGAAATATGTCTAACTTGATAGTTACTCGGTTGTAATTTCTTTTGATTGTTGGGGCGTGGCCCCTCCTTATTTATATGTACAAAAAAAAAGATCATTTTTTTTTGTATTCAACCTCAAGATATTTTTATTTAACCTCCTCTTCCAGTTACTTTGTTCTCTTGAGGTATTATCTTGCAACATCCTCCTTCGGGCCAACTTGTTCCCAAACTCAGCTCCTCCTTAGAACAGAGGTACAATTGAAAGAAAGATAAGATTAATTCCCTGATTTTCCGTTGGGTTCCAAAAAATTCCAGGAATTGCTTTGGCCAGACTTCACTGTCAACTTTACCAATTGAGCTACCCTTAATGGTTTATAAACAGAGGAAAGATATTGTCAGAGTCAAGTTATGTTATTATTATATTACTACCAATCAATATCACCGTTAAATTAATTATGTTGATCCAACGGTTATTTATTCCCCATTTTTAAAGTGAAAGCATTAAATTTGAAAAATCATAACCATACAAAGCGAAAATAAATATAAAGTATTAAATTTGGAAAATCATGACCATACAAAGATGAAAATAAATATAAGTGTTGGATCAACATAATCGATCTAACAGTGAGATTATAGTAACACAAGTTAGTTGTTACAATATTATTTTCCATATAAATAACCATCTTTATCCCATGGGAAGAGGTGCAATATGCGTGAATCATATGTTGAGAGATCCAACTCACGGATTATGCTTAGGACTTATCTGTGAAAGCTTTGAGATATTTAACTGTTAAATGTTCACCAATCTCCCAAGAAATTAAAAAAGAATGCAATTCGGTGTGGCCACAATCAAAGAAAGTTTCATGTGGAACTGTGCAAGATGCACAAGTGAAAGCAATTTATCTTTACTACAAAGTACACAGCACCACTGAAAACAGGGGTGAACACAATCGATGGAACAGAAGCGTAAGAATACACAAATTTGGCTTCATTGCAAGGGACTCAATAAATAGCTCTTCAACCCCTCAAAACTTTAAATAACTCGGTTCACAATAATGAGCATCAAAAGGTATATGAAAGAAAGAAAGAAAGAAAAAAAAACATTGATAGTATGAGAATCACTTCCCATCTTGACTTGATCATATCTTCTTATTCTTTAAAATCTTGTCCAACTATAAATTAGTTTAGGAAGTGACAATTGTTAAGGAATATCTTAAAAACATAGATGATATAAAATTTGAATGCACAATTAACCAAAAGAAAATATTACTACGGGAAATACAAGTGTTATGTTACATGAAAAATCTCTACTTTTCTACACACTCAATATAGCATAAGACCCATTTCAACTTTTTTTACTTTTTTACTGTACAATGGGACCCACAGTGTTCCCACAGTGTTTTTTGTCTGTAACATCACAAATAGTGTCATGTTACATGACAAACTATTACTATTACATAAAAAGTGAAATTAGGAATAAGCTGAAAATTTAACTATAAAAGGACATTGAAGCATTGAAAATGCAAGGCAAAACAAATTGCAACACGGTCAATGAATATAAGAAATTGGTGTATGTTAAACATAGCATGAATTTAACTTTAGAATACAATAAACTCCAAAATTCATACTTGTTACTTTCAATTACAACATGCACTCATTATCAAGATGTAATAAGAAAACCAGATCAGTTCATACATCTTACAATAAGCGAATACGCTCTCGTCAACTGAAAAGACACATCGATAGATAAAAACATAGGTTAAATTACAAGATAAGAACCAAACCCTAACTAATAACACCTATGGCATTCTATAACCCTAAGCCCTCTCGCCCCTAATTCTACGAGCGAGTTGAATGTCCTTGGGCATAATAGTGACCCTCTTAGCATGAATGGCGCAAAGGTTCGTGTCTTCGAACAACCCAACCAGGTAAGCTTCGGCGGCTTCTTGTAGCGCGGCGACGGCGGTGCTCTGGAACCGGAGATCGGTCTTGAAGTCCTGTGCGATTTCCCTCACCAGCCTCTGGAACGGAAGCTTCCTGATCAGAAGCTCCGTGCTCTTCTGGTACTTCCTGATCTCCCTCAGCGCCACCGTTCCTGGACGGAAACGGTGAGGCTTCTTCACTCCTCCGGTCGCCGGAGCGGATTTCCTAGCCGCCTTCGTCGCCAGCTGCTTCCTTGGCGCCTTGCCTCCGGTGGACTTGCGAGCGGTCTGCTTGGTACGAGCCATGTCGATTGGAGAGAACTGAAAGGAAAGATGAGTGTTTGTTTCTCGAGAAAATGAAGGAAAATTGAAAGTGGATGAGTGGAAAGGGTGTGTGTTTGGGGTGATATATAAGAGGGGGATTTGGGGAAGGGAAAGAAAAAGCGGGAATTGTGAAATTTTTGGGGAAGATGAAATGAGAAGAGAAGAGTGTGGCCGTTGATGGGAAGGGCTATCGACGGTTGTGATTCTCTTAAAGTAAGGACACACGGATGGCGATCCGTGGCATGAGAAAGTAACCAATAGGTTATCTATCTCGTCAATATTTTGTCATTGAGAATTGTGACAGGGGCAAACAGCTTTAAAAATATATAAACTGACGTATTAAATTAATATGGCAACCATGAGTTAACTATTTGATTGTAATTTTTAGAGGAAAACGTTGATTATAAATTTTTAAAAAATAAAATTAGCTTTAATTCTAAAGTGAATGAGTAAGTCAATATTTATTATTAGGGTTTTACTTTTCTCATGTTGTAGGAGAGAAGTTATCTCATGTTGTGAGATAAATTAAGTGGAGCCCACTAATTTAAAAAAAAAGAAAAAGAAAAGAAAAGAGATGCACGTCTTTTTATGTGAGTGTAAAATGAGAGAGAAATCTTATGCAACATAAGAATATAATTTCCCTTATTATTATTTTAATTTAAAGCAATGTTATTAAACTCAAATCGAGTATCAACTAGGTCGAGGTATCGAATCATTGCGTTATCAATTCAATCAATTAGGGTTGGTTAAATTGATTAAATTAAATTTATATAACTTTCGAGAGTAGCTCAGTTGACAACTGAACATCTAAGAATTTACTTAGGTCAAAGGCTCAAATCTTACCTTAAGCAAATTCTTCGAAAATCATTTGGAGTCAGAGGATGTGTCTTTCTCCTTGAATGGAAGATTGATCTCATCTTTTCTCTGGTGACGAAACTCAATGCACTCATTGTTCTAATGAGAGGTAGCCTTCGAGGCCGTACTTCGAGCACAAGATAACCGAAGGATATTGAATGAGAATATCTCCAAGTTATAAAAAATATATATATAATTTATATAATATTATATGATAAATATATTAAAAGGAGTATCACGTCAAACATGAAACATTGGCCTAGCGGTAACACTTCGACGACTACACAACCATTTTATTACCTTCGCAGGAATGCACGAAATGTCAAAGAGTTTGTTAGTCACCATAAGTTTAGTGTCAAATTACAACATGGATTACTACAACCCATTGCCCCCCTAATCACTTCAAACATTTAACAATTGATTTTATGGCTTACTTACCCATTTCCAATGGATATACAGTGATTTTGTTGTAGCAGACAGATTCTCAAAGGGTGTCCACTTCTCCCCATTACATGGACCTCCCATTATTTAACTACGCATCTAAGGTGGCAAAGGTTTTTAAAACACTATCGAAAAAATCTATGCACTTCCCACTAGGAATATAAATGGATCATACCACTTGTCACAAAGACACCTACAACTAAAGGTGGGAAGGCGGGCTGGCCAGCATTGTACCTCATTTGAAGGTGGATTAGAACACTCAGCCCATTGAGTCCTTGATATTTTATACTAAAAATATATATATTAAAAATTATGCCCTGGTGGACTTAGCGGACAGTCCACCCCACCCCGTTTGGCTAGCGGCTGGGCCCGGCCCGGCTGACCGGCTCATTTTGCCACCTTTTTCTACAACTCAACCTATCTTTGGCTTGACTTATTTTTAAAATAATACAGGGTTGAGTTTATTGACATACCTCTTTAGAAATCAGGCCAATTTAAAGGATCGACTTATAAGTCTCTAGGACTACCTTGTTTTTTAATAAAAAAATTTTTTTATAATTTTTAAATTTTTGTAAACCTCCTCCTATGTTTTATGGGAATTAGGAGGTGTTATAACAACATAAAATATAATCAATTTCTTGTTTTTTTCCCTTTATGTTACTTTATATATATTTGGCTATATTCTTATATATGTATAAGGAATAATATGGCTGCAATGATTTCCCTTTTGTTGAGTGGGATTACGTAATATATGAGTAAGTGAATATGTTTCTTTGTTTTGAAATTTAGTTACGCCTTTTGCATTCTTGCCATTATTCTGTTTTTGATTTCCAACAACGAAATAAAATTGTTAATATTTTGGGTTGTGGCTCCATCAACTTAAATATACAAAGGAAGCAAAGTAATCATAACATATAATTTACAAAGTACAATATATCATCTTTAAAAGCTTAGTAGGCCAGGTCAAGCGTTATATTTTTTAAAAATAAGTTAGACCAAACTTGTAATTTAGCTCGTATCAAGCTAGTTATTCAACTCAAGCTTTAAATATTTTACATAAGTTTAACCTATTTAGGTTAAAGTCTAGCTTGACCTAACTAATTTACACCCCTACTTCCTTCCTTTATTATTTTTTATAGGGATATGGTATGCCTTAGGGGCTGTTTGGTTGAAGGATTTTGTTGAGAATGATAGATAAATGTGAAGTGGATTTATAAGATTACTATGTTTGGTTGAAGGATTTTCAAAATTTGGCTATGTAAATCATTATGCTATGAAACTGATTTGCATATTTATTTCTATGGAAAAAGCAGGCGAAAGCTTCCCTATGGTAGTGTGGTATTGTTGAAAAGCTTGCTATTTGCTCACCCTTCCAACTGTTAAAAGACAAGCATACCCTCATCCTTCTAACTGCTATTTGCTATTTGCTCACCCTTCCATTTGTGTCGTTTTGTTACTTTATATATCTATGTACGTATATGTCTGTTGTACATGAAATAATTCGAAAGGGAAAGTGCAAAAATAAAATAAAAAAATTGGAATAGAGACACTAATGAATCAACGAATGCGTTCGAGACAAGATAGATTTCCCACAAATATCAATTTTTTACAAACAGGGTTATTTTCGTAATATCAACTTGTTTTTCCATCTATATTTTACCTACAACCAAACATAGATTTCATAAAAGTTACATAATTTTCCCGGTAAAATGTTTTCCAACCAAACAACTTTTTTTTTACATTTTCCTACCTATCTCACTTTCCAACAATTTTCCTATGTATAACATTTCCCTATTATTCATAAAATTTCTCCTCAACCAAACGCCCCCTTAGTGATTTTTGGCATACCTTATTCAAAATGTATGGAACTTCATTAAAATATGATAGTTTTTACCGTCCCCATACGAATTGCCAAACGAAACGAGTAAACAAGTGTTAAGAAGATTCACTACGGACTTTTGTTCATTCTTAACCTTCCTTATGGTCTGTTACGATCTGGTAGATCGATATGTCCAATCAGAGATTGGTATGTTAATATAGGATATGTTTTCCCTCCCTCAGGTACCTATATGAGAGGTACCCTAAAGATAAGCGGATCACTGTGCACAATAATATAACGACATAGTCAAGGCGTGGGGTGTGTGCACAGTGACAAGCTAAGAGAGAGGGTTTAGAGTGTGTGTACCTTATTAGTTTAACCCATTATTTATGGATGGGTTACTGGCAGGAGTGGACTTTTGGGCCTCTCAAGAGCATTGGGGGTCCAATTGTTGATCCATTGCTGCCGTAGTAGGATTAGCATAATTAAGGAATGTTTCCTTAATTCCCTCTTAGCTGTTAGCCCTATTTGGGCCTTCTAGAATGTAGGCCTTTGTCAGGTCCATAACAGTTGCCCCTCAGCCCGGTAGTTTGGTTGTCCAGGCTGCCGGGGTGAATTGTGTTGCCTTTTGCTTCAGGTTTTCTGCTCTGCTGAGAGCGTTTGAGTTTTTGTAAATTTTTTGCATATATGTTCCTTACATCTCAGGCTTTTTAAACCGGGGTTGTCATTGCCCCTTATCTCGACGGGTTGATCATAAACCTTGGAAAACATTTCACGTATTTGTATACCGAGTTTGGGATGAGCTTGCGTGGTTAGGATCCAACTGGCGAGTTTCCCCCAAGCATCATTCCATACGCACACGTCCTGAGCTTGTAGCTTTCTTCTGGAACTGGGAATGATTTTCCTTTGTTAACTATATGGACGGGTTATGCATGAACCCGACAAGATATTTTGCGAATGTGCTTGAGTAGTTGGGACCCAACTGGTGAGTTGCCCCCAAGCATCATCCATGTGACCTGGTTAAAAGTTTCCCCCCAGCCCGGTAGTCTGGTTGTCCAGGCTGCCGGGATGAAATAGCAGTAATGTATGCATTTGAATTTCTTTTGCATATTTTATTCAAGTTAGTAGTTGAATTCTTGCTTTGACTTGGCATCTTTATTGAAGCTATTTTCTTTGGGTTGGAACTTTTCTTGGCCAACTTAATTGGGTCAGCGATTGCAGATATTATCTCTGTCATTTATTCAGCTGGTTTCAGTGAACCGAGGATTGAATATGTTGTTTCCATATTTCTCCCTCAACCTTTTTGGCCGAGGTGGTGCTTTGGTGAGGCAGTGTTTTCCTCCTTTCGCTTTGAGCCCAACTTCTTCCACTGTAGCTTTATTAATTCAGATTTAGCTTTTCAGCGTTAACTGAACAAAATGACCTAGCCAAGGTCTTTCATGTGGATTCCGCATTTTGCTTTTAACCCAATTTCCTTAATTAGGTTTTCAAATTTGAGGCGTCATGGTGACTTGATCAAGGTTGTACCAATCTGCCCCTTATTTTTCAAGCCTGATTTGATTTATCACAGCTTGTACACATGTTGTTTATTTTGACAACATATAGAATTCGAAAGCGTACTTTCGTTTTCCTATGCCTTAGCTAGAAGCCACAATCCTGGAGTGTGCTTTTTATTTTTAACCCGTTTTCTATCCAGGTTCTTGCACGTTGCTAGACGTAGGTTTCCAATGCCTTGGCTTTATAATATTTGACGTAGGTGTCATTTTTTGACTTCATCTTGTTTCTTCGTTTTACTTGTGAGCCATTTCAGATTGGAGTGTGATCCTTTTTCTAGGATCTCATCTCTCCAAACCTGTCTTCATTCTTTACCTCAGATTTTTATCATGGGTCTTTATCCCGGTTTGGGGTGTGATCCTTTTTCTAGGATCACATCTCTCCAAACCCGTCTTCATTTTATCGCGGATTGGGGCGTGATCCTTTTTCCAAGGATCTCGTCTCTCCAAATCCGTCTTCATTCCATCGCCGGTTGGGGTGTGACCCTTTTTCCAGTACCACATATCTCCAAACCCGTCTTCATTCTATAGTGGGTTGGGGTGTGATCCTTTTTTCCAGGATCACATATCTCCAAACCCGTCTTCATTCTATCGCGGGTTGAGGTGTGATCCTTTTTTTTTCCTTTTTCATGTAAATTTAGAATTTAATAGAAAGGAGACTTAGCTTTTGCTCTTTGCTTGATTTGCCCCTTTCTTTTTAACCTCGATCTCGGCCACGATCTTGTTTGGATCTCAGCCACGATTTCGATGACAGCGGTGGTCACGACCTTGATCTCGATTTCATCATGCTTGTTGAGATTGGCTTTCATATCTCAGTTTACAAACTCTGGTTTGCCTTGATCTGTTGATGAACTTCATTTTTGTCTTTTGCATCCATCGTATTATGATTTGGTTGGTCGGCGGCTTTTACGCCTTTACCACATTTGGGGGGAAATCGAAGTTTATCGTTCTCCACAGACGACGCCAATGTTACGATCTGGTAGATCGGTATGTCCAATCAGAGATTGGTATGTTAATATAGGATCTGTTTGCCCTCCCTCGGGTACCTATAGGAGAGGTACCCTAAAGATAAGCGGATCACTGTGCACAATAATATAACGACATAGTCAAGGCGTGGGGTGTGTGCACAGTGACAAGTTAAGAGAGAGGGTTTAGAGTGTGTGTACCTTATTAGTTTAACCCCTTATTTATAGATGGGTTACTGGCAGGAGTGGACTTTTGGGCCTCTTAAGAGCATTGGGGGTCCAATTGTTGATCCATTGATGCCGTAGTAGGATTAACATAATTAAGGAATGTTTCTTTAATTCCCTCTTAGCTGTTAGCCCTATTTGGGCCTTCTAGAATGTAGGCCTTTGTCAGGTCCATAACATGGTCAAAACTGAGGGGATGAGCCAAATATCATTTCAACGCTGCCTTTAAGACTCCTGATGGGTTCACCTCGCTTATGTCACTTTTTGGTGATTACTTTCTCATTACTCGCCTATTGTCTCAGATATTATAGACATGTAGCTGTTGAGAACGATCTTACTCTTCAAGATTTCATCGTGGCCACATTACTCACCAACTCAGCCAAGGCATAACAACGGATGAAACAACTGGTTGATCAACCCAAAAAAAGATGTAACCTTTGTAATAGACGATATTGTCTTACTCCAGCTGCAACCATATCGCCAGACAACAATCCATCGTCATAAGTCTCATAAGTTATCACTGCAATATTATAGTCCCTTCGAGATCATCAAACAGATAGGGCATATGGCATATCGATTGCAACTCCACATCAACCAAGGTATATAACGTAATTCATGTATCTCTGTTGCGCCCTTTAAAAGCAACTCGAGCATATCGTATCTACCATTTGCCAAATTCTTTAGATACCCTTGACCTGAGTCATTCTCCATGGACAATAGTGGCATCCCATTCTATTTAGTCTCGTGATAATCTAGTTCCACGGGCTTTAGTCCAATATGAAGGACTTTCTTTGGGAGGGGCAAATATTCTCCTTAATTCAAATTGCACATACAACAAAGTAACTGAGACCACTATAAATAAGAAAGCGAATAAAAACAAGTGGGTCTCACCCACTTTTTTGTATGTGCTTAAGACAAAACTGTCTCATTTAACATGAAAAAAATTATTCGCATATATATAATACCCACCAAGGCTCACTTAATCCACAAGTTAATGTTCAATTATGAACCGGGTTAACCTAATAACATTTTAATTAAATGGTATTATAAGTTATAATATGATCTATTTATAATAATTTTAAATTATGAAAACTTAGTTTTAAATTTAAAAAATTATACTATACAAAAAAAAATTCAAAAATATATGAACCTAAATAAAAAATTGTAAATAATACAAGGACAACCAGATAAATTTAAAAAAAAAACCTTACGTACAAAATTTGATTAAATAAATAAATAAAGGGAAATAGATTTCTCTAGTTGCAAGAGAGGAGAAATCAAAAATCTATCTCCCACTAACTTAAAATAAGAGAGGAAAGAGAAAAAAATAAAAGTGAGACCCACATGTTATTTTGTATTAGCAAAAAATAGATTTATCTTCCATGTCATAAATCTATTCCCCATAAATAAATTGCATCTCATCTCTAGAGGTGATAAAACGGGCTCGACCCGTCCAGCCAGTCAAATGGAGCGGGACGAGCTAAGTTTTTCAAACCTGTTGCTTATCAGCTCGTCTGAGTTGAATTTTTTATTTTTTATTTAATATATAATGTCATCGATCGGACGGACTGATATTTTTAGCCTATCTTCAAAGCCGAAATGGGCCAACCCATTTTTTGGTGGAATTATGATGACGCCGTTTTGGCACCAGTGTTTAAAAACTCGGCCCGACCATCTTTTCGGCCAAGGTCAGGGGTCATAGGGTCACGGGTTCAACCGGGGGATCACATGATCACTTCGCTGACCCGATTTATACATTAGAAAAATATAAATATATATTCTATATGAAAAATTCAAAAAATCAAACAACCAATCATTAAAGATTCAAAATATACTTAACATAATTCAATCAATTACATCCATAAGTCAATATTCACTAGCTGATTAAAGTATCAAACTATCAAAGTATAAAGCACATAGTCTAATGGAGTCAATAAAAAGTTACATCATCAAACTCAGACCCTTCTTGTCATTCTCATGCACCTACAGCAGTATGTGAAAGGAGATCCCCTACCCAATAAAGAATAGTGGAGGAGAGGCAACAACACGATAAATTAATGGTGGAGAGAGAAGAACCAGCACGGTGGAAGAGATCACCAGAACAGGGAGACTGGGTCTGGGTCTGAAAGAGAAGATCAGAAGAGAAGAAGAAGAATAATTCAGATTTCAGATCTAGTTCTAAATCTAGGCAGCAACAAGTTTTTGTTTTGTTTTTTCTTTTTTGCACATCAAACGACGTCATTTCGTGTATAATTTTTTTTATTTTAGAAAAAATGCAATGACCCCTCTAACTCAGGAGTCACGGGTTCAACCGAAAGTTTCAAAAGTTAGAGAGGTCAACATGCAAGTAAGATCTAACTACTAACCCGAACTTTCAGAGAAAGAGGGTCAGTGACCCGGAAGAATCGACCTGGGTGAGGTGGGGTGGGGTGGGGTGGGGTTGTAAAAAATTGTTTGGCACCTGTAGAGTCATCCCTAGCATTAAATAGACGACAACCTTATATTTTATCAAACATTACCTTCGTTTAATCTTTGCATCGTGTCGTTTAATCCCATCTCGCGTCATGCAATAAAACGACTTGTGGCAGCTTTTCCTGGGCCGAAAGAAAAAGCAGAGCGTTATACATAAATTGCCACAAAACCCCGTTTTACCGATCCCTCATTCAATACTGAAGCTTACGCGAATCCTTTTTTTTTTTTTTTGTGGTTATCGAAAACGAAGGAGCAAAGAGAAGCAAAAAGCGAAGAAATTAAGCAAATTTTTTTCATTTTTTTTTTTTTTGATAACAATTTTTTTCATTTTGATTAACGAAGCCAATCGATAATCGCTTGGAGAATGACAGAGGATAGTAGCATTAGGGTTTCTTCCGGTGAAGCCTCTGTGGCGAACGATGCTTCGCAAACAAGGCAGAGGTAAACCTACTTCACTGAAACATATTCCTTTTTGCGTTTTGTAAATTATGTGAAATTGTTTGTGCTTTTGTGCGGTGTTAATTTCATCAACTAGTTTGTCTTTTTTTCTTTTTTTTTTTTAATTTATGGAATTGGAATCATTTGAATAGCTCAATGCTCAAGCTTTTAGGGTTATACTGTCAAGTAATGGAAATGCTAAACGAGATTGACACTTTTGGATTTGATGTATGTTTTGTGTGAATCTTTTGTCTTTTGGTGTAGAAAGAAGAGAAAGTGGGATCAACCGGCAGAGTCCTTGGTACCAGTTGGGATGTCAGTCCCTGGAGTCCTTCCACTGAGCAATGCTTTGCCCCTTGCCGGTATTTCGTTTCCGGGTGTGACTCCTATGATCTCCGGTGTTCTTTTGACGAATCCATTGGCAGCTTCAGTTCAGCAACACACTGCTGCTGCTGCCCAAAATTCAAGTCAAGTGAGATATCTAATCCTTACAATCTTTATCATGCTTGCAGGATTAGATATCAACAATTTATTGTTTTAGGAAAGGGGATTGTAAATAGATTTTCCAAGGTGGTGCGTAGTTGTTCAATGAAATTTCATCCAAGGATTTGTAAACTTGGTGCCTGAATGATATGGGAATTCAAATAGATTTTCCAAGGTTTAAGAAACACAATAAAGGGGGATGAATTGTGTGCCCATATAAGTTTCTTCATTTTTAAAAACCAAATCTTTAGCCCAATAAGAAATAATATTTCAGGACAAAAGTTTATAAGAATAAGCTATGATTATGCGGAAACAAGGATCTCTCCTTTTGTATAGCCAAAAAGTTTTTTCTACATTCTTACAACTATTCATAAGGCTATTGTCCAAGTAAAGTGCAAATAGAGATTTCCCAATTTAGTACAGCAAGTTATATATGCAATACCCTTTTTTTTGGTTGAAATATAAACAATACTTATAACAGTCAGCCATTAGAGAGAGGACAAAAAAATGGCAGACCAGAGGAGTGCCAGGAATCCAATTTTTCTCACGAGTTTTAAGATACCCACTGAAGCATATTTGCATAAACTCAATCTAAAATGAAGATATTATGCAAAGATGCAAGTATGCAAGCAGAAACAAAATGACAAACAAGAGATTGAGCATGCAATTTTATATTGGTCTCCAAGTGAAAACCTGAGATTTTACAGAAGCTCAGTAGTATTTCTTCAACCTTAGCCTTTCCAAGTTAGAATAAGCTATTTCAAAGAGTAATCTCACAAGTCACAAATTTATCTCAAAGTGGTGTATTTTACAATACAGATCAAAAACCTCTTTGTTTCTACACTAATGAAACAATGTTTTTCCCTTTCAAGCTCTGAAAACTTAGTATAATCTAAATACATGATGCAAAGAGTATTTCTCTAAGAATTTGCTCCACATTTATTCCACTCATGTTATACACTATTGGGTTTTCTACCTCACTTGTATAAAGCTTCGTAATGCCTTTTAGAATAGTATGACATCTTTTCACTGTACCTCATAGGCTCATACACCTTTGTTTATCCATGTGTGGAGCTTGCTTTGCTTCACAGGGACTTCATGACAACCTTATGGAATTGATAAGTAGATTATTATTGTGCTTAGCTCTATTAAGGCACACTTGAAGTTGTCCTCTCTAGTCTTTATTCCTCTTGGGAGCTTGCTCCAGTCCACGATGATATCTTGATATCGAAACTTCAGAAATTCTGCAAAATTAGTTTGTTGTTTGACAATGATTTGATAGATTCAGCTGCTCATTCTCTGTAACTATACCCTTTCAGGCAGGTTTCTATTTAAGATCGTGTATATTTCCACATTATAATATTAAAAGTTAGCTTGACCCATTTGTACTTCTCAGACCTGTTGCTCATAAGTTTGCAGAATGGTTTTTGGGATGGGGTGAAATCAATGACTTCGATTTTTGTGCTTTATGTTGTCATTAATAGCCTGTTCTAGTGGTTTTGTTAATTTTTATTACTTTTTGTATGATTATGAGTATTTCAACAAGTATGTGTTCTATGTCATTCCATATATATTTTTTTCATTATAATTTCCTTAGAATAATTGCTTAAGTGTAAATTCATGCTGTATAATATTTGTAATTGGTAAGTGTTTATATACATAGGTATTTGGCTATATGCTGCTGAAGCCTTTTTTTTCCACTTAATTTTTTACATCATTTTTTTATTATGAAGTATGAACTTGTTTTGTATTTTTTAAAATGTATTTCAAGTTCTGTATCTTGATTTTGGGATGAGTTTTCATGTAGCCGAAGATCCAAGATGAATTAATAATTGCTCGAGAAATTGTCATAAATGATGCAGAGTCTTCTGTTCGTTACAAGTTGACAAAACGCCAGACACAAGAGGAGGTGACTTATATGCAATCAAATCTGCATCCTTTTAACTCTGAGCTTCTCTTAATTTTCATCTTTAATGATCAATTTTCTTCTTCATGCAGATCCAGAAGTGCACTGGTGCTATAGTTATAACTAGGTTTGTAGGTCTTTTAATGCATTTCTATAGTCATTGTAGTGTTTTCTATACCTCTGTATGTAATGTGCATGCGGAATTTATGCACAGGGGGAAGTATCGACCGCCTAATGCACCGCTTGATGGAGAGAAGCCGCTTTATCTTCACATCTCTGCAGGAGCTCATGTAAAAGCAGCTGCTTGTTTTCCCTATAGCATGATGATTGGGTTAAATAATCAGATTTAATTAGATATTTTTGTGTACTTCTTTATTTTGATATGAAAGTAAACATTTATTTCTTTATAAAGTAGTGCGATCAGGTGTATAGATTGGAAAGGTCCGAATAGTCAAAAGAAGAATAAAGTCTAGTCAGAGTAATAAATGAAATGTCATATGAAAGAGATTGATGGAGTTCTTTGTAACTTAAAATGTTTTCTTATTCTTGAAAAAAGAACCACATAGCTTTGTTGTATCATCACTCATGACACAGTAATTGTAGTGCTTCACAGGAATTGATTACATATTTTGGTTTGCTTTTGGTGACGTCAAATTATATCACAGATAAAAGAGACAGCAGAACGGATTCTAGCTGTTGATCGTGCTGCTGCGATGATTGAAGAAATGCTGAGACAGGGACAAAATTCACATGCAATTTCTTCTGCTTCACCTTCAGCTTTGGCTAATGGACTGAAGGTACACATTCATCACATACTAGTGTATGTGTACCGTTGTAATGTGATGTGTCGACAACTGAAATATCTTCCTGAATCAGGCGCTGAGCACATGTGTGTTTTTGGGCTTTGATGCTGACCCATCATTGAACATTGTTGCTCGTATACGTGGACCAAATGTGAGTCCTTCCCTACCTAATTCATTTGTCTAGTCTCCCTTGGAGGCTGGTTTTGTTTATGACCATATGTGGACAAGATAGCCTCGAATTTTATGAGAGGACTGGTAGAAGTTTCTCTTCTATAATCTGTTGGCTTTTTGGGTCTCATTTGATGGTCTTTGATGTGTTGATATAGTCATTTACTTTGATAGTTTCTGAAGTTTATTTGCATATAATGAAGTCGAGATAATCTAATGTTTCAAGCTTTCTCTGACATCTCCATACAATTGGGAGAAATTGTTTTGGTGTTGGTGGTGGTTTGGATTTGATCGTGCAGGACCAGTATATAAATCACATTATGAATGAAACAGGAGCAACAGTTATACTGAGAGGACATGGTTCTGGAAACAATGAATGCTCGAACGGAGAAGGTACTTTCTCCATTTGTATGATCTGAACTTCTGAAGGGCATGTTATTTCAACACAGCATATTTTTTATATTCATGGTTTTCAATTTGACTTCTTTTCTGGTTGCAGATGGACAGCAGCCCCTGCATATTTTTTTGTCTAGTAACAATGCAAAAAGTCTTGAAGATGCTAAGTGTTTGGCTGAAAATCTTTTGGATACAATCAGTGTGGAGTGCGGTGCTTTGAGGTATATAATTTTATACTGTGATCGGCATAGGATCTGTGAACCAGATCTTGATTCTACCTAGAGTGAAAAATTTAGGAAATGCTTCGTGTCTTCTCAGATATTTAGCTCTTACCATGTAGAAACAAATATTTTTGTAGAAAATTCAAATTTCTAGTTGATAATTAATGGAACATGACAACATACCTTTTGATAATCCAAATTTCTTGTACCACATACTAATGTCAATGTGTGAACAATTGAACATATCTTTTTCATTAATGGAATTGTTACTACCCTTGTGCATTTGCAGTGAATTTTTGGAATATTACTTTGGTTTTGTTCCATTTAGGAAAAGGGTATAAATAATAACTTTTTCTCCACCTATCCTGGAAAAACATGGATCCTCTCTTTAACGTAAGAGATTTGATTTCATATTAAGTTAGACCAGAATGATGTCAAAGGCTCAGGTGTGTGGCCATGCTTCTGATGCCTGGTGAGTGGTCGATGCCTCTGTAAACAATTGCTGCTTTAAGGTGCTATGTTCTAGGAGAAACTAATACCTAAAAGAAGATGAGAAGATTTAGGTTAATTTGTGTAATAGCCCCAAACCCTGTAGCATGATATTGTCCGCTTTGCCCCGCGCACAAGCACCGTCGAGCTCACGGTTTTGTTTCTTGGGACACCCCACAAAAGGCCTCACACTAGAAGAGGTATCCACACCCTTATAAGGCATGCTTCGTTCCCCTCTCCAACCGATGTGGGACATTACATCCTCCCCCACTGGGAATACAGCGTCCCCGCTGTACACACCGGTCCAGGGCCAGGCTCTAATACCAAATGTAACAGCCCCAAACCCTGTAGCATGATATTGTCCGCTTTGCCCCGCGCACAAGCACCGTCGAGCTCACGGTTTTGTTTCTTGGGACACCCCACAAAAGGCCTCACACTAGAAGAGGTATCCACACCCTTATAAGGCATGCTTCGTTCCCCTCTCCAACCGATGTGGGACATTACAATTTGCAGAGATGTAGGTACATTAGGTTGAATTACAAGTTGAAAATGAATGCTCTGGGATTGGTGCAAGTTCGTACGATGAAGACTAGCACTCTATTCCCTAGAGTTGTGGATTTTAGGCTGATACCTAATAGATTTTGTCTCCATTCACTTCCATGACAGAATCACATGATGGCCACCAAAACATTTTCATTAATGTATGTTTCCTTTATTTTTCTGTCTGTCTCTCTTATTGACACACTTATAAATATCCTACTATTACTATTTGTTATTTTAGTTTGCAATTTGAGTACTTCCATATTGCAGACAAGGTTCTTTAATATGGACCGTGTACTTTAACTTGGCAATTTGAACTCTGGACTTTGTTGGTTGATTTAAATATTAAATTTAAAATTTGTGTGGTTTGTATTGAATTTTAATTTTCTTGGTGTTGAGATTGAGCTTGTTGAGAGGGCAGTGCAAGGGTGGGAAGCTGAGGTCTGGTAAATCTGATAGATAGCTGAGAAAATTACCCCAGCCTTCTGCCATTTCAATTCTTTGAACTATGTTTTTAGTTATTTTTAATGTTGGTACTGTGATAAATTACTTTTAAGTCGGATTTGTATAAGTTTTAGGAAATAACTTATGGTTTAACTGTCATAGGGTTTCATCATGTAAGGTTTATAGTGCTGTTCCACCTCCACAGCAGGTATATGGTGCTGTTCCACCTACCCAGCAGGTATATAGTGCGGTTCCACCACCCCAGCAGGTTTATAGTGGCCCCTCATTGTTAAATCAGATTCCTACTGCCATTTCACCCCTGCAACAAGTTTATAGCGCCGTTCCACCTCCACAGCAGTTGTTGACTGGAGTTCAGAGGTCTGGAATTGAGCTAGAGGCTAGTACAGGCCTAACCACTAGTTCGATGTCATCAACTGTGGTCTCGACACCAGTTCCTCCAGCTTCCTTGGTTGGAGTGCCTGGGGTCACCAGTGCCCTCACATCAGGGACTACACCACAATCTGCAGGATATTTAAGCTCTGGACTTCCAGCAAACATGATTAATTATACTCCCCCTTCAGTATCAGGTGGGACTAGCTATATTGGATATGGTGGAATATATCCTCAAGCCACCCCTTTGCAACAAGTTGCCCTTGCCCTAAGACACTCGCCTCCTGTTGCTTCAACAGTTGCTCCCACAACATCAGCATCAAACAAAGAATCCAAGTCAACCACAAGCTCTCGTCTTGAAAAGGAGAAACGGACGCCTCAGAAGCGGAAGTTTCAAGAATTACCAGTTGGTTTGAAGGGCACAAAAAAACTCAATCAGGTCTTTGCATTGCCATTGATAAATTCTTTAAATACAACATTGCATGTATCAAGGGAAATATCATTCAACCCCCTTTATTTAATTTTAGTTTCTAGTAAGCTTGTAAATGAATAAAAGGGCTTGGTTTGTAGGAAGTCAGATTTAATTCTACCTGTGCACTATGGATTCTGATATACTATTAATTGGATGGGGAGATTTGAATATTTTATGACCTGCTATCAGGGCTGTAATGAGGGGCACCATAATGTGATCTAAATGCCTCCAAATTGACTGATTTGATAAGAATTCATCTTTTTTCCAGGGTAGAAGCTATGATTGTTTACTCTTCCATTATTATTTCTTACCCCGCCCCCTCTGTTCTGATCACAGCCTGGGGAGTGTTTCTTATACTTACATGTTGCTTGCTGCATGTATTTTGAATATTCATTTTCAGCGTGTATTTATAGATGAACTTGCCATTTGAGAAAGAGAAAATGAAATAAAGCAAATTACTTGTGGATACATATCAGGAATTGAGGGCCTTGTTGTCTTCATGTTTTCTTATACTTACATGGTGCATGCCTTTTGCTTATGCACTTCCAGCTTGTATTTTTAGATGAACTTGCCATTTGATAAAAATAAAATGAAATAAAGTAAAACACTTGTGGATATAACTGGAACAGAGAGCCTTGTTATTCTTAAGTACAGTTATACCTGTCCGTGGATACCTTACCATCTTAAACTGAACTATTAATTATTTTCTTTCTTCTTTATAATTTTCTTTTTTTATCAGAGAAAATAAAAGTACAAATTTTTTCTCTCAAATGCTCTTCATCTCTAGCTCTGTTCTGATCTAAACATATTATCTTGTGCTGACTGTTAATGCTTAATATTCCAGGTATTTTCTCTGACCTTCCATGAAGCTAGTTGGCTGACACTGAACCTGTTTGTTGGGCCGTTGGTTTGTATGTTTGGCAGGGCTTTCAGTTTTGGAGAAGTTAAGAGGGTGCTTGTGGCTGCACAGCATTTTCCCTTGCCAATCCAAGATGTTATTTTGATTGTTTTTTTCTTCATTGGTAAAATTGTTGCCAAAGATGTTGGCATATATGGACTGCCAATATCCTGAAGAAAATGGTTTACCAGTACCAAATTGATACAGTCTCTTGTAGTGAAAAAGACAATTAGAGATAGGAGAGAATATAAGAGTAGAGAATGAGATATCATCGTAAGGTATAATAAGAAAAGGAATAAGATTAAAAATGTGAGTGAAAGTACGTGAAGCTCTTTCATTCTCTTGGTTATCCATTGAATAGACACTCTTAAATATCAAATTTTTAGAAAACCCTGGCATTGTGGACCTTATCCTAAAGGAGGTTATAAGATACCATCTCACTTAAACTTCTTGCCTTTGTCTTAGGCCAATGTGAAATCTTGGTAGACGTAGTCCTGTGCCCCTTGAAATGATTCATAAAAAAAAACTCAGTTTTGTGTGCAATCAATAAACCTATCACTTACCAAAAACTCAGTTCTTGTTTACTACCAATAAACCCATCGCTAACCAAAAAATTCGGTTTTGTGTGCAAGACTTGTTAATCTTGATATTTGACATCAATGCTACATTTGGTACTGGTGCTCAAACCCATCAGGAAAATTCGAGCTGCTGTTGTACTGTTATCTTGCCAATCACACTATCTATTGGAAGCATGGGTTACCACTACAAATTCCTCTGCACCTTCCATTTTATTTATGTTAAATCATCCGTTTACACAACCGGCAGTCTACAAATTTTCTGTACTTTTCTGCTGTTATCATTAATGTGACACTAGGTCATGTTTTGAATGGTACTCTACTATCAAGTCATTGCTTGTTCATCCTACCTTATATTGTTTTACCTTGTTTTCTGCATTTGCTTTTCTCTGCAGTTGAGAATCTTGATTGACTTGTAGTTTTTTGTGTTGGAACAATTAGTAAAATATCTGATTCAGAAGTTGTGTTTGGATTTTTGTTTTCTCCCACTCTAACTCAATTGCAGGGATTGGAACATCTAAAACCTAATGAACAATCTGATGATCTGGTTGTGAGGAATGTATCGAATATGCCTGCTCCTAAGAGGTTGATGCTGCCATTATCCAATGGGATGCCACCACCTCCACCAATAACCATGCCCACTCCACCTCCTTCACCTAAATTTTGTGATTCTGAAGTTAAAGTACAAGATGGCAGCAAGAATTTACTTAAGAAAAAGTCTGATACAGTTCCTGGTGAGAATTAAGCCTGCTTTTACTAACTATATCAGGCATTGATTATCTTGTTTGAGCAACTTTAATGTTGCTTTGATGTGTTATTCTTTGTTTTCTCTGTAGTTTGTAGTATGGAGCATTTATTGTCTGCTTTGTGTCCCTGTAATTTTACTTTACAATGCCTTCTTTACTGGCCATCTTTTAGATTGTTCTTTTGTGTAACTTCTTTGTTTATTTCAGATACTTTGGTCAAGCTGATGGAATATGGAGAGGATGATGATGATCTAGACGATTCTAGCGATGAATCACTTCCTCAAACTGCCCAAGCAATTGGGGTTCAAAAGCCTTTCTGGGCTTTATAAGCTGTAAAGTGGATGTTGGACATAACAGATGTAAATAAGTAATTAATTGCGTTGGGATTGAGCCATCGCATTAGTGCTTGCTGATTATGGCTATGGTTACTCTTTCCAGGGGAACGGAGGTGGAAGCCCTGAGCATGATTTTTGGAGCAAACTAGTTGGTTGTTGAGTAGTATTTAGACTTTAAAGGTCGTAATTGCACATTCTCATATGCTTTGTGAGACTAGTATATCTGTTGTAGTTTTGTCCTAATTTGAGTATACATGTACACTGGTCGTGTATTTTTAGCAAGTTGGTATCTAATTTGATTTAAGGTGCTGCGATAAGGGATTGAACACTGGTTTTTGCTTCTGCCCCTTTTTAATAGTTGGCACCTTCTTTAGGACTCTTCCTGATTTATCAATGTAACTGCTGTTCCCAGTAAAGATAGAACATGCAATTACAAAACCTGTTATTTTGTTTTTCCGTTCTCCAATGGGTTACCTTTCTTTTCACTGCAACTCAACATTATTGCCTGATTGCTGTTCTATAGCTGTTATGCTATAATTTATTGAAAATACCTCATTCAGATACAGAAAAATTGTATTGGATATAAATATAAATTGCCAAAACTCTCGTATCCTCTTAAAGTAAATCATAATAGTAGATTTTCGTTGTTCAAGTTTCTGTTTTGTCTTAACATTTTTGGCGGTGGCAAGAACATGATTCATTTTAAATTTTAAATTGATTTTATCTTTGGTGGGGCTTAGGAACTGTTGATCGCGAAATTAGAAGTTACGGTTCAAAAATTGGTCATGGCAAGAATTTAGAGATAAATTTCAAGTTTTACGCTTGAGGTGCCAACTAAAGCACCTTGACCAACAAAAGCCTCTTAGTATTTTCACGGTTCGGAGTTTGACAATAAATCAAAGCTCTAAAATAAGCCACAGCTTTAAAAGTAATAATTTCAATCTTTCAACTGGTCGGGAACTTTTGCCAATTTTCAGGATGGTTTCCCAAGGCTGTTCCAATTCTTGTTTGGGTAATTTTAAGTCTCAATGTATTAACCCAGGCAATATTGACTCCTGCACGAGTCTTACAATTATAACACTTTTGTTTATGAAGCATAACTCTGATCAGTTATGGACCTTAGGAAGGTTGGAAATCATTGCCATAGAGTTTTTAATGGATTATGGAAGATGATTATGGTTGTCGTATAATACCGGCCTTAGTATACCACGAGACCAGGATGGTTTTGAAAAAATATTTTAGGCTGTCCTTACCGTTGACACGGAGGTCTTGCTGTTACCACCAGTGAAATTAGTTAGCATTGCTGGGACATATATTGCACCTACACCACATGATGACACATTACTTTTAAAAAATATTATAATTTTGACACGTTTTGATATTAAATAATAATTTTTAATATATATAATATAATTTATATTTAATATATATAACAGTCCATAATAAAATTATATAACCAATCAAATATAAAACAAAAATAATTTTTAATGTCAAATTTCATAATAGAAAAAAATTGATTTAGAAATTATTTTAAAAAAATAAAATATGTCGAATGCATATCGAAACATTAACCCAGTGTCAAAAACCCGTGTCGGAACATTAACTGTGTGTCCCGAAATATTAATTGCACGTCAGAGACGACACAAATTTTTTTTTAAACTGCATGTCCGTGCTTTCCAGGCTGGGGCCAACAGCTGCCATATTCCATAATCCATATATGGTAATTCTGTAATAGCCTAACTACTATGACTGAAATGATGTCTTGAGATCTATTTCAATGACAAACTCCTTCACCTAGGCACAGAATTCATACATATTCTATGGCTCTGTAGTTGTTTCATTATGAGGACCACCAGACAAATGCCAAAATAGAGTGATCCTCTGTTCCTCTTTAAGTGATAGATAACACCAACTCTGAATTTCCATAATCTCAAAACATGCCATTTCACATTATTGACTACAATATAGTGAGTTTTATATATACCGTTTATCATTCCAAGCGTCAAACGGTGCAAAAATAAAATCATTCTAAATATAGTTGCAATTCACGCATAGACAAATCCTATTTTACATCAGTCGCTGAACTGACAAACTATCAAATTCAAGTCAAACAATGAAGTTCAGAAAAGCTAAAAGGGGAAGAGAAGAGCAAACAAATATTTGAAGCACATCTAATTATCATCAACCCCACAGGTTATTCGCTCTTAACAAAGGAATTTCTTCATTGGGAAAATACTCTCACCCCCGGGTTTGAGCGTAGTCATCAGGCTCATCATTGTTCTCTCTCACATGACTGTCTTCAAGTGGCTCAATGGATTCTCCATCATCTGTGACTCTTGTGTCATTTTGGTTGCTTCCAAATTGACCATCATATCCCAAACCAGACTTGCGGCCGAGTTCTCCGCTGTCAGAGCCAAAGCCTAGATCTCCACCAGAATTTTCATTTAATTGGTAATTACTAGCACCACCACTAGTGTAATTTGTTCCAGTATTGCCATCCCCATAGTTGCCTGTAACACCATAACCACTACTTCCATAACTTTCACCCCTATTGTTGTTGTTACCTCCATAATTACTACCACCATAGCCGCCACTGCCTCCATAGCCTCCGCCGCCATAGCCACCACCCCCACCATAGCCACCACCACCTCCATAGCCACTTCCGCCACCACCTCCATAGCCACCACCAAACCCTGGACGTGACCTTTCAGTGGCATAATTCACCCGTACCCTTCGACCATGAAGATCCTGTGATACAATTCACAATATAATTTCAGAAGCTCAAGAAACATTGCCAACCTTTTAAAATTTGCAAACAGTAGCAAGCTTAGTCTATTGAATCTAACAGTAACAACTAATTGATGCTAAAGTTCTAATACAACTATCATGAAGAATTGTATCCTCATTCCTTCTTTCTTTGTTTAAATAAACAAGATTATATTTTAATCGGTAAAATATTGTACTAAATCTTGTATCTTTCAATTTCTCAATCTTGGTTTCGAAATCTTATTCCATATTGTATGAATTTGCTTGGTTTCTCTAACATTATTATTTTAAACTAACCCTTGTAATAAAAATACCCGTCATGAAGATCCTTTAGAGCAAAGCATTCTCGACAACAAGAATAATATTATGCAGGTTGCACAAGTTATTTACACTGAACTTCAAGAAGCCTCAAAAGAAATGTTTTTTGGTACGCTACAAGCTTAATGTTTGAACAGCCACATGCATTTGCAACAAAAATTATCATTACTGCATTCAAGATGTCTACTGTACCACGGCCAAATACAGCAATTGGATACTGCAGGAATGTACATGGGGTGTTTCACTATTTTGTGAAGTAAAGACAACCTTATAATTTCTTCATAAAGGGGGCTTTAATTAAAACCATGCTTCCCATGTGAATGGATGTCAGAAATGTTAATTTTAAAAGTTCAGCATGATAAATCACCAAAAAAACTGATAATACCTGGCCATCCATGCCTTGAACAGCAGAAGACGCATCCTCACTTGTTGCAAAAGTTATGAAGCCAAAACCTCTGGACCTGCCAGTGTCACGATCCATAATAACCTTTGCTGGAAGAAAATCAAGAACAACCAGTTTCAGTGCTGAAACCAATAAGCACCATAGTATGAAATATGTATGCTTTACACAGCCACCATTTATAAAATAAACATTTGATTGTTGCTTGCTAGTTTGTCACACAATACAGCTGCTAACAATCAAACCACACTATCACAACTAACAAGTAACAACTACAATTGTAAACTATTTCTTACAAAAGAGAGGAACAAGGAACAAAGTAACATGCACCCACAAAAGAAACAATGGTATACAAAAGTATAAATAAGCAGCCTATACTTTTATTAAAATATAATCATTTATGGAAAAAAAAAGGTAGCCAGTCTATATATAAAGAGAAAATGTTGGTTTGCTATGGCTCACTATGAAAAATTCAAAAGACAAATTCACAAGTTGAACCTTAATTTTTTGTTTGATGTTGTCTCCCTGAAACAATGAAAAACTAGTAAACTGTCTTAGTCAGAATGAAAATACCATCAATTACTTCTCCATAGCGAGCAAAAGCTTCTCGCAGACTCATATCATCAGTGCTATATGAAATACCTGCAATGCAATTGAAATTTGAAAAGTTATAGCTATGTTCCATTTAGAAAATATTCAGCGTGATAAACAAATGTACCTCCAACAAAAAGTTTTGCAGATGACATGGATCTAATCGCTTGGAAAACCGAAGGATTAGACAAAGAAAAATCTTGATTGATGTGCTTGACAGCAGAATTCTTGAGTAGCTTTCCAATTTTACCGATGAACGCCATTGCTCAACCCTAAAAAATGTCACACTGCAAAAAGTCATATGGAATATATATTCATTGTTCATTGCAACTTATGCTCTGGCTGTGTACAAAAGTTCCACAACCAGGTCACTTTCTAACACATCAAAAAGAATTATTAATGCTGTTGCAATCTGATCTGATCAAACTGCAATCTAATTTCACATTAGCCACAGCACAAAGAATTATAAGTGATCATCAAGGGTTGTGGTCGAAGAGGTTCACAGCCTACACCAATTTTGTGTTATCTCATAGTAGTAATGACTATTGAGAAAATACTTTTAGCAACACTATAACAAGCAATTCATTCCCAATTAAAATTATAAACGTACAATGGATTATAGAACCAAAAAAATAAAATAAAGGTATAATGGTTTTTCAAGACCACCCTTGCCACATTGGAATACACTGCACCAGCAAACTCTATTTATGCTGAATACATATTCATATCATATGTGCAGTAGATTTGCCACCAACTTGTAAGCAAAAAGCCCATAAGCCAAGAAGCCATAAACAGTACTCAACCAAAATATTTAAGTTCATTTCTTTCTTTTTGATTCTCTTTCTTGACTACCCACTTGCTTTTTGCACAAAACAGAAGGCTTGCAGGCCATAAAAATCAAATCTTGAGAAGTATTAACCATTACCAAGGTCAAAATAACAAACTGTTCGAAACCCAATTAACGAGTAAATGGAAAAAAAAAAAAAAAAAAGTTCAACGGCCAAACAAGCCCTCAGAGAATAACAGTGAAATCATAATGGAAATCGAAAAAATGGGTTGAAAGAAAGTTCTGATCTTGAGATCTTACGAACCTTGAGAAGCTTCTCAGCTGTGTGTTTGAGACTCGAGACAGTGCGAAGCTGCCAAAAACCCTTGCCGCTAGATGCTGACCTAAAATAGGGCTTTGGATTTGGGAATTGACACGTGGCCACTCTTTGTGATGTACAGATGCTGAAGCATAAGTAACGCTAACCGTTTTGAATTAGATTTTCTATTTTGAATTTTTTTTTTTTTTTGTTGATTGTTATGGTTGGGTTATAATAAAATTTTAAGTTTGTTTAGTTAATTTTATGTTTTTGATATTTTTCTTTTAGTTTGAAAATAGGGGTAGGATATTGTACCAATCAATTAGGGTTATTATTTCTACCAATTAATTTTACCATTAGATCGATTATGTTGATCAAACGATTATATATATTTCCATCTTTCTATGATTACGATTCCTCGTATTTAATGTTTTCACATTAAATATGGGAAATCCTAACCATACAAAGTTGAAAATAAATATACAATATTAAATATAGAGAATCATAACCATATAAAGATGAAAATAAATATAACCGTTGGATCAATATAATCGATCTAACAATGAAATTGATTGATAATAATATTGGTAATAACCTTAATTGGTTGTTACAATACTCTATCCTTGAAAATATACTTCATTTTTTTTTTGGAGGTTTGATCTTTTTTTGGAGGTTAAATATACTTCATTTTAATATAGAATCAGGAGAAGTATTTCATAGTCCAACACTCCAGCCCATATAATTTGTAGGTGCTCCATCTCACAGATAGGAGGGTATTTTTCGGAAAATGAAAGAAAAAATAGTAATAAGATGGTCAATTTTTATTTTTATTTTATTATGAGTGAGAACATGGAAAAATTATATGGGGCCGGAAGGTTCTAATTATTTTTCATCAAGAAGGGAAACAAAAATTTATTGTAAAACAAAACCATTATATTAGAAGTTCTAATTGATTCTTGAGCATGTCCTTTAAATTCCCCAGAATCAGCCACATCCATGTTCACCTTGTAGAAGCACTATCAAGCGTGTGGTTAAGCAAATAGTATAGTTTTAGAGATGTTAAGCAACTAAGCTTCACTTATTATAATAAAAATTTCTATGTTGCGGCTATAACAAAAACTTCATGCTGTTTTTGATTTGATTTTATGTTGTTGTACGCCGTACGGTATGAGTGTCTTCAATTTAAGTTTTCCATCAATCTGCAGATACTGCATCTTTTCCATTACAATCTTGAGGGTGAATTTTAATATCGGTTTAGTACATTAATTTAGAAGAATTAATACCATTACATGTTGGTCAAATGTTTGAATTCAAGTAATCAATATAAGGAGCATATCTCCAATAACTTCATTTAGTCGAACAATTTATGAACCTTCTCATATTCATGAACTAATGTATGAGTTTGATAACTTGTATATGTGGCATTGTGCATGTGAGCATTATACTGATTTTACTACTTTAAACAATATATTATACTATTTTTCTTGTATGCAGGCATTTCGGATTTGCAAAACTTGTTATCGAATATTGAATAAATGAGTGATTATATTGAATAAATGAGTGATTCTCATCACTTTAATTTATCTAACAATCATGTTTAAATTTTGATAAAATTTAGCTAAACTCTGTAAAAAAAAAAATTGATTGTGTAGATAATTCTTTCGTTGATTCCCAATTCCTTCTAATTGCATTTGTTTTTTCAAATATTCAATCTTAGTCCACCGGTCGCAGCTGAACGTAGTATAAATTCCTTCTTCTTCTTCTTCTTTCATTTTATGGATTTTCCAGATAACCCAAGTGAGAAAACGAGTGCTTCGCTTGTTTATGCAAAGTCACTTGGTAGAAATTTAATTTTAAACCCAATAGTCTTAAAGAAAGGGCTATTGGAACAAAATTTATTTGTTTCAGCGTTAAGTACAGTGTTGAAACCAAGAGCCTCAGTGAATAAATTTAAGCAGAATTTGCCTTTCTTTTAATTGGTTTGAACAAATTTATTCTGCTCACAAAACGAACGTTATTTTTATAGGATGCTACTTCCAGGAGACTTTAATCATAACGTTCTATTCCACGTCACCACACAAGTTTACGAAGAAAAAGAAAAAGAAAAGTACAAATTTAATATTATAATTATGTATTTCTCACATTACATATTTATAATGCGGTGACTGGACATAAGGTACTTATGTCCAGTGATTGAATACTCAATTTTCCCGATATATATATGATATCAGAAGATGCTTTGAATTAGCAGCTTAGCTTTATTAATTGAATGAGAGTCTAATATATAGACCACTGTTACAACAATATCATGCGCTAATATACAGGAACAACAATAACAAAATAAGGAGCTAACAGTTACAGCTGAAACAATAACATATCTTTGTAACAAACTAATCCTACGTATCTGTAACAAACTAATTCTATCCCAATACTCCCCCTCAAGTTGGAGCATGGAGAGAGGAGATGCCCAACTTGGAGACCAAAAAATCAAATTGTTTGGAACCAAGAGCCTTTGTCATAATATCAGCAGGCTGAGAATCTGATCGAATATGTTTCATGGAAATGGTCTTATCGAGGACACGTTCACGAACGAAATGACAATCCAATTCGATGTGCTTTGTGCGCTCATGAAACACGGGATTGGAGGCAATATGAATAGCGGATTGGCTGTCACAAAAAAGGTGCATGGGATCTGTGTGAGACAGGCCAAGTGAACTAAGGAAAGATTTGATCCAAATAAGTTCAGAAGTAGCAGCCGCCATAGCTCGATATTCTGCTTCAGCTGATGAACGAGAGATAGTGTTTTGCTTCTTAGTTTTCCAGGAGATAGGAGAATTGCCAAGCATGACAAAGTAGCCAGTGACCGATTTCCGTGTGAGAGGGCAACTAGCCCAGTCCGAATCACAGTAGGAGCGAATAAGAAGATCAGAGTCTGAACGAAGTAGAAGACCTTGTCCTGGATTGGTTTTAATGTATCGAAGCACACGAATAACAGCATCATAGTGTATGGGCATGGGATTCTGCAAAAATTGAGCCAACGTGTGAACGGCATAGCTTAATTCTGGCCGAGTAATAGTGAGATATACTAAGCGCCCAACAATGCGACGATATCGTTTAGGATCTTCAAATGGAGGACCGTCAGCCAGAGCGAGCTTGTGATTAGGGTCCATGGGATATGCTGCTGGTTTGCAGCCTTGGAGTCCACATTCTTGGATAATATCCAAAGTAAATTTTCTTTGACTGAGAAAGAAACCGGATTTGCTTCGAGCAAACTCGATACCAAGGAAATACTTGAGATTGCCAAGGTCCTTGATTTTAAACCAAGTGTGAAGATGAGCTTTGACACGATCACAGAGAGCTACATCATTGCCTGCTAATAGAATATCATCAACGTAGACAAGGATAGCAACCGAAGAGCAGCCATGCGAGTATGTAAAAAGAGTATAATCTGCTTGGGACTGTATAAACCCAAAACTAAGAAGAGACTCGCGAAGTTTGGCAAACCAGTTGCGTGGAGACTGTTTAAGACCGTAAAGTGAACGTTGAAGCTTGCAAGAATGACCTGGTTGATGATGAGAGAAACCCGGAGGAAAACGCATAAACACCTCTTCATCCAGATCACCGTGGAGAAAGGCGTTCTGCACATCAAGTTGAAAAATAGACCACTGTCGAGCTACTGCAACTGATAAGAATGTGCGCACACTAACCATTTTGGCTACCGGAGCAAACGTTTCCGTGTAGTCTTCATCTTCGATCTGATTGTTGCCAGCAATTACCAGACGTGCTTTGTATCTCTCAATCGATCCATCAGAATGATACTTGATACGATAGACCCATTTGCAAGGGAGAGCCTTCTTTCCAAGCGGTAATGGTGCAATACTCCAAGTGTTGTTGGCCTCAAGTGCAGCAATCTCGAGCTGCATAGCTTGCTTCCAGTGATCGGATTGCATAGCTTCTTTAAAGGATTTAGGTTCCAAATGGCCATCAAGGGCTGCAAGAAAAGCCTGATGTTTTGAAGAAAAAGAAGCGTTAGTGACAAAATGGTGTAAAGGGTACTGATTACCTGAGGCAATAGGAGGAGTGGAGAGACGTGGAAGGGGTGTAGAAATTGTTTTGCAAACATAATCTTGCAGATGAGAAGGCGGATGCCGTGTTCGCTGTTCCCGAGCAGCAACCGGTGGTGAAGAACCAAGTATAGGAGGTGGAGAAGGCACATGTGGAGAAACACTCCCCCTGTCGTCAAGTCCTGGTGTGGGGTTGTCAGGTTCATCATCTGATAAATCATCAAACACAGTTATAGCCGGTTGTGTTAGTGGCACATGAGAAATAGGATGCGATGGTTCTTGAGCTAGAGGAAAGATATTCTCATGAAATAGCACATCACGGGAGACAAAAATATCTTGAGTTTCAATATCCATGACTTTCCATCCCTTCTTATTGAAAGGGTAACCAACAAAAACACACTTGCGAGAGCGAGCCTCAAATTTGTCACTTGGTTTGGGCAGAATAGTGGAATAGCATAAACAACCCAAGATCCGTAGGTGATCATAAGAGGGTGAGGTGCCATGTAAGACTTCATAAGGACATTGCCCTCCAAGAAACGGTGTAGGAGTCCTGTTGATGAGGTGAGCAGCAGATAAGATGCATTCACCCCAAAGAGAGATGGGGAGATGTCCATCAAAACGTAGGGCTCGAGCAACGTTAAGAATGTGACGATGACGGCGTTCGACACGTCCATTCTGCTGTGGAGTGTAAGTACACGATAACTGATGAAGAATCCCATAGGAAGAGAAAGCCTGTTGAACCGAAGCAGACAAAAATTCGATTCCATTGTCAGATTGAATACGCTTAATTGATGCATTATACTGAGTACGAACCATATTAAGAAAATGAATTAAACAAGCGGCTGTGTCATGCTTATCTTTCATCAGAAAAATCCATACATGTCTACTAAAGTCATCCACGATAGTCAAGAAATAACGTGCACCAGTGGTGGAAGCAGTACAATATGGTCCCCATATATCACAGTGAAGTAATTCAAAAGAATGCAAACATCGTTTATTATTATTTGGAAATGGACTACGTGGTTGCTTGGCTTTACAACAAACATCACA